CCTATAATCCCAGCACTTTGGGAGGCCGAGTCGGGCGGATCACGAGGTCAGGAGATGGAGACCATCGTGGCTAACACAGTGAAAACCCGTCTCTACTAAAAAACCCCCCCCAAAAATTAGCCCGGGCGTGGTGGCATGCGCCTGTAGTCCCAGCTACTCAGGAGGCTGAGGCAGGAGAATGGCATGAACCCAGGAGGCGAAGGTTACAGTGAGCGGAGATTGCGCCACTGCACTCCAGCCTGGGCAACCGAGCGAGACTCCGTTTCAAAAAAAAAAAGTTCACTACCAGTACATGTTCTTATTTGTCCTAGACTTGCCACTGTTTCAGACTCAAAGGGTGCACTTCTCCTCTTTCGTGGTAGGATTTAGTGCATGAATCTGCTCACCCCAAACATCCTCTTCTGAACTTGGGGTTTTCGATCCTTTCCAGGCAGATATTGTTTATAATCCCTCAGCTGGAGGGTTCCTCCAGGTCCCCAGTTTATATATTCATTTGTTCACCTATACAACAACCATTAAGACTTGCTTGTCCAGGCTCTGTTGAGGACCCCAGAACACGGTGGGTACCCGGTGGTCTCAGGCTGTCGGTCAGGGGGCCTAGTAACCCACTAAACAAAGAGTAGCCTTCAGCCCTGTATCGCGGGCCAGCGAACACTCAGAGGCCCAACTCGCTGTGGCTGCTCCCCAGGCCTGGTCCCGCAAGGACGTGGGGGCGGCCGTCAGGACTGCCCAGGGATTGGGGCCCTGCTGGCTTCCAGCCGGTGGGCGCCAACAAGGTGGTGCGAAGGCGGGGCCTGGCGGGTGGGGCGGGGGCCTTCCTGGGGTGGAGCCGGCGGAGTGGAAGCAGGGCCCGCCCGGGGGCGCTAGCAGAGTGGTGAGAAGGCGGGGCCTTCTGAATGCGGACGGGGACGGTAGGAGTTGCAGGGCCTGCGTGGGGCGGGGCGGGGCGGCCTAGGGGTGGGGCGGCCTAGGGGTGGGGCCGGCGGCCACCGGAGCGGGGCCGGCCAGGGCGCAGGGAGGGCGGCGTGAAGGCGGGGCGTGAGGCGTGGAGGCGTGGCCTGCATGGGGCGGGGCGGAGCGGGAGAGACTAGAGGCAGCGCCTGGAAGTGCGGGCGTCGCTCCCCTCCGGCGACTGAGCCAGGTGTGAGGGCGTGACGGCCGCGCATTCGCGGGAAAAGAGCGATGGGTGAGAACGCTGCACCAGGTCTTAGACTCCAGTGGGACCAGGAAGCCTCGCGCGAGCGCCCTGCTGCCCACCCACCTGATTGGGACTGTGGAGGAGAGCGGGATGGAGTGGAGGGTTCGCGGACCCCGTCGCCCTCCTGGGTGTTGCAGCTCCTTCCTCGGCAGTCCCGGGGCGTAAGAGCGCGACCGGCCGGGAGGTGGGGGCCCCGGGACACGGCCGCATGTGGCCTCACAGGGTTCCAGGAGCCCCTGAGTTAGCCGAGCGCGTGCGTGGGTGTCGGGCGTGCGCAGGTTTCCAGCCCGGCAGGGACGGCGGAGGCTGCGAGCTCTGGGGGCAGTGATGGGTCCTGGAGTCCCACCACCTACCCTAAATTTCCACTCCCTCCCTGCTGCCCAGTGTGATCTTGGGCATGTACTGCAGCGCCCAGTGCCTCAGTTTCCCACTCTGTGGAGTATAGAGTGACAGTGGTCCCACCTGTTGCATGTGTGAGGCTTTGGCACCCCTCTGGCCCTTGGGAAAGGCTAAGGAAACTGGCTGTTGACTCTGTTTACTCCGGTTTTACAGGAAAGGAAACTGAGTCTCAAGACAGTTCAGTACTTTGTCCAAGGTCACCCAGCCTGCAAGTGGTAGGGTCCGGGCATGACCAGCGCACCGACCCCAGCACATTCTAGAAGGTTCTGCCCCAGTTTAAATGGGGTACATGCTGTGAGGCCTGCCTCAGGTTTTTCCGGCCTAACTTATGTTTCCCTCCTCTGGGAGTCTCAACACCCATGTCTGGCTCTCTCTCCCCATAACCTTCTGTGGGCAGCTGAGTCTCTCTGGACATGACCCCTGGCTCAAGCGCAGCAGGCAGAGATAAGGGGCTCAGGGAGCACCAGCTTCATGGATGAAAGAGAAGGAATGAAAGAGCCGGCTCTGTCTTTTAGGTCTCATCTCAGAGCTGAAGTTGGCTGTGCCCTGGGGGCCCCATCGCAGCCAAAGCCTGGGCTCCCTGCAGGGCCCTCCAGTTCTCTGCCTGCACGGCTGGCTGGGACAATGCCAACTCCTTCGACAGACTCATCCCTCTTCTCCCGCAAGGTGTGAGGCTGGGGCTGAAGGGAAGTCCCGGGGAAGTGGGCAAGAGGTGAGGGGGGAGGTCTGCAGGGGAGTGAGGAGGGCGGGGAGACAGCTGGCATAGACACCTCTTCCTGCCTCCAACCTGCTTCTCTGTTTCAGACTTTATTATGTTGCCATGGATTTCGGAGGTCTGGGCTCTCGTCCCATTACAGCCAGGTGTCCCATATTACCACCAGACTTTTGTGAGTGAGATCCGAAGAGTTTGTGGCAGGTAAGAAGCAGTGTATTTTTCGGCACGGGGTTGCTCTGGGACACCCCCTCTTAGCATTGGAGTGGTGCTAGGATCCAGGAGCTGCACTGGCCTGGGAGTGGGGCCTGGGCTCTGGCCCCAGGTCTGCCAGCAATTCACGGGAGATCTTAGGAAAGTTGAAGGTTTGCTTCCTCCTGTGGTTCCCCAAGCTGGTCTCCTGGGTGGACACCCCAGATGCTGGGAAGGATTTCCTGAGCCCGGGGAGTAGAAGCGAGAGGGCGGGCTGAGCCTGTGCACAGCCGGACCTTCTGGCTCCTTGTGTTTCCAGCCTTGAAATGGAATCGATTCTCCATTCTGGCCACAGCTTCGTGAGTACACTGACCAGCAGCTGACTGGGCCCGGAGTAGGGCTGGGAGGGAAGGATAGGAGCTGCTGCCCACCGCTTTCCCCTGCGCTTATGAGATCTGCAGAGAGAGATGAGAGCATCAGAGATTGACCACTGCGTCCTCTGACCTCAGGCAACTGCTGCAAGGACGCAGAGATGAGGGAAATGTGGTCTTTTGAGTGGTCGGTCTGATGACGGGGCCATCGTGACCTGATAGTGAGCCCCCACCACCCATATGGAGCCCCCCTCTCCCTCCGCCACTGGTGGGAAGAAGCTTTAGGGTTTGCAGCTGGGGAGGGAGTGAGGGAATGTCACCAATGGCTCTTCTGTCCCCCAGGTGGCATTGTGGGCGGAATGGTGAGTAGATGGCTTTGTCTGGCCAACAGGGGTCCCTCGGCTGGGCTGGGGATGGTAGCACAGAGGAGGAAGGAGAAGGTACCTGGGACAGGAAGTGCCTCCTCCTGTCACCGTAATAGTCATTATACTAGGAAGTTGGTGTAAATGGGGGAGACTTCTGGTAGAGTTAATGTTTTCACGCCCCCATACCCTGTCCCAGAGCACCCTGGAGTCCCGCCATCAGCAGGGTCTGCAGCTCAGTGCTAGGTACAGACTTGCGAGTGGTGGGGGAAGGCACACCATAGGATAGAATATTCTCCTCTGGCCCCTTGGTCAGCACATACCCCCCAGCCTAAAAGATATTTCCAGGAACTCCAGGGTCCCCTGGGAAAGGCGGGAGAGTCCTTTCCTTCTTCCCCCTATTCATTCTCCCCTTCTGCTGTCCTCACAGTTTTCCTGTATCTTCCCCGAGATGGTGAATAAACTTATCTTGCTGGACTCGCCGCTACTTCTCCTGGAATCGAATGTGAGAAGCGGGGCTTTCGTGCGTGCTGTCATTAGGGAGGACCTGCACCCCGGGCAGTGCTCTCAGCCCTATCTCCTTTGGTGGACACTACGGAGGCAGGAGGAGGCGGCAGAGGGTGGGAAAGGGGAGTCAGGAACCCGCTCTCCACCAGAGGACAGCTCTCTGCTGCTTATACCCCTAGGAGTGGTCAGGAGAAGGGGTGTGGGGGACCCCTTGGAAACTGGACGTGTGGCTTGGGATCTGCAGAATGCCAGGCTGATCATGCAGTGGCAGGGGTGGAAGAGGGCAGGAGCCATGGCTGGAGGATGTTGTAGGGCACACAGCTGGGCAGGCGCAGTGCACTCACACCCAGTCGAATGCCTTTGCACTGTTGTACATGTTGCACCACCACATATGACAGCCCTAAAAGTGAACTGATGGAACAAGTACTGACCCCTCTGGCCACCACTACCCATAACCAGTACTGTCCCTGCATCTGGGTCCTGGCCTGGTTGTTTACCTGCTGGGTGACCCTTGGCAAGTTACTTTGCCTCTCTGGGCCTTAGTTCCCGCACCTGTAAAATGAGGTTGGGCTCCATGCCCTAGCCAGCCCTGACATCCTGTCATTTTCTTGCCAAGGTCTCAGCCTCTCAGTTGTGACACAACTCCCGTCAGTTTCAGTTTTTTTGTCCATAGAAGGACCACAGATCGGCCGGACTCGGTGGCTCATGCCTGTAATCCCAGCACTTTGGGAGGCCAAGGCGGGCGGATCACCTGAGGTCAGGAGTTTGACACCAGCCTGACCAACATGGAGAAACCACGTCTCTACTGAAAATATAAGATTAGCTGGGCGCATGCCTGTAATCCCAGCTACTTGGGAGGCTGAGGCAGGAGAATCACTTGAACCCAGGAGGCAGAGGTTGTGGTGAGCTGAGATCGCGCCATTGCACTCCAGCCTGGGCAACAAGAGTGAAACTCCATCTCCGAAAAAGAAAAAAACAACTACCACAGATGTCATAAGGGCAAGAATCATGTCCATCTCTTTGTCACCACACCCCGAACCCTGGCACCTAGGGAGGGCTCAGTAAATGTTCCTTGCATGAGCTCAGCTAGCTCAGGGACTATTGTGAGGATCCAGGTCACAGATGGCAGACAGCAGACACTCCCTTCTTTCTGCATTTCACCCACTGAATTGACAAGCGCAGTGCCCCCGGGGGCTTCCTCCTGGGTGAGTCAAGAGGGGCATTTGTTTCTCTTATCCTCCATTCTCAGGAGCAGGTAGATGGGAGTTGCCCCCTCTGCAGCCCCAGGCAGTGGGCCCGAGGCTGTCCTCACAGAGTGAGCCACGCATCCTGGGGGAGTCTGGAAGCCCCAGAACGGCGCCCTTTCCGCCACTCCCTTTCTGCCACTGAGAATGATGGCATTTTTTGAACCAGAAGAAATCGCCAACCCCGGTGGTTCATGGCATCTGGACCCTAATTTCATGCCTTTGCAAAGCACTCAAGAGTTGACAGAGATTCCCCTTCCTCCCCATCATCCCACCTGATCTCTTAACTGTCTTTGCCGAGAGGGCCTCAGTGAGAGCGGCTCAGCGAGAGCGGCGGGCAGGGCTGGAGGGCGGAGGCCTCGTCTGCAGCCTGGATCCCTGCCCACCCAGCCAACTGTGCCTTCTTAGGAAGTGGGAGAACTTGCTGACCTACAAGCGGAGAACCATAGAGCACATGCTGCAGGTAGAGGCCTCCCAGGAGCCCTCGGTGTGTACAGCCTGAAGCAGCTGCTGCAGAGGTGAGTGCCTGGGTGGATGGGGAGCTGTGGGTCCACGGAGGACACCCGGTGAGACGTGGGGAAGCGTCTTTCTCCCTGTCACCCAACAGCCTGTTTCTCTCTGGGGTCACGCTGGAGCACCAGGCTTCCCAGGTCTTCAGGGACGTTATCTCCTTTCCCTCTGCCCCTGCTCCGGCCCATGCCCCTTCCTTACTCCAATACCCTCCCCACACCTCTCAGCCCCCCTCTCCCCGATGCACACGCTGCTTCCAACGCCTTCTCTCCCCTCTGGGACTCAGCCTGGGCTCCCTTAGCTGGAATTCTCTCCTTGTGCTTGCTCACTGGCTTCCCCACTCCTGGGGGCCTCAGCTGGGAGCCTGCCCTGACACCCCCCAGGCGAGCTGTCCCTCCCTGCCCTGCAGGTAACCACACTGTCCAATAAGAGCCTACTGGACTCCCCTGGTTCCCGAGGCCTGTGAACCCGCACAACCCCCACTATGGCTGGACTTGGTCATGTTTTGTGCCTCTGCACTGGCGGTGGGCCTGGTAGGTCGGAGCCCACAACTATTTGTTGTCTGAAGGAGGAGAAGCCCGTCACTGCCCTACCACACGCACGCGCACACACACACCCCCTGCCGCCCACTGCCCCACCACACGCACGCGTGCACACACACCCTGCCGCCCACTGCCCCACCACACGCACGCGCGCGCGCACACACCCTGCCGCTGTAAACATGCCATTGAAACACAGGACACAGTCCAGGCGCAGTGGCTCACACCTGTAATCCCAGCACACTGGGAAGCTGAGGTGGGAAGACAGCTTGAGCCCAGGAGTTAGAGACCAGCGTTAGCAACATAGCGAGACCCTGTATCAAAAAAAAAAAAAAAATTAGCTGGTCACGGTGGCACACGCATGTGGTCCCAGCTACTCGGCAGCCTTAGTTGGGAGGATTGTGCAGCCCCGGGAAGTCGAGGCTGCAGAGAGCCATGATCATGTCACTGTACCCCAGCCTGGGTGACAGAGTGAGACCCTGTCTTGATTAAAAAGAAAACAAGCGGCCGGGCGCGGTGGCTCAAGCCTGTAATCCCAGCACTTTGGGAGGCCGAGGCGGGCGGATCACGAGGTCAGGAGATCGAGACCATCCTGGCTAACACAATGAAACCCCGTCTCCACTAAAAATACAAAAAAATTAGCCGGGCGTGGTGGCGGCGCCTGTAGTCCCAGCTACTCGGGAGGCTGAGGCAGGAGAATGGCGGGAACCCGGGAGGCGGAGCTTGCAGTGAGCCGAGATCGCGCCACCGCACTCCAGCCTGGGCGACAGAGCTAGACTCCGCCTCAAAAAAAAAAAAAAAAAACAAGGGCCAGACGCAGTGGCTCACGCCTGTAATCCCAGCACTTTGGGAGGCTGATGTGGGTGGATCATGAAGTCAGGAGATAGAGAACATCCTGGCTAACATGGTAAAGCCCTGTGTCTACTAAAAAATACAAAAAATTAGCTAGGCATGGTGGCGGGCGCCTGTAGTCCCAGCTGCTCGGGAGGCTGAGGCAGGAGAATGGGCTGAAATCGGGAGGCAGAGCTTGCAGTGAGCCAAGATTGCGCCAATGCACCTCCAGCCTGGGCGACAGAGCGATACTCCATCTCACAAAAGAAAAAGAAGAAAAAAAAAAAGAACACAAAAAATCACGGAACACATGCACCCTTTGTGGGTGACCTCCCTTTTCCTCCCTTTTGCTGCACCTTTTTTTTTTTTTTTTTTTGAGACCAAATCTTGCTCTGTTCCCCAAGCTGGAATGCAGTGCCACAATCTCAGCTCACTGCAACCTCCGCCTCTTAGGTTCAAGTGATTCTCATGCCTCAGCCTCCCAAGTAGCTGGGATTATAGGCACACGCCACCACGTCCTGCTAAGTTTTATATTTTTAGTAGAGATGGGGTTTTACCATGTTGGCCAGGCTGGTCTCGAACTCCTGACCTTAGGTGATTCGCCCATCTCGGCCTCCCAAAGTGCTAGGATTACAGCCACGAGCCACCATCCCCGGCCTCTCCTTTTTATCTGATTTCCTCTTTATTGGCCTCCAGGCACTCAGCATCCTTCTGTGTCCCCCAGGTTACTGAAGAGCAATAGCCACTTGAATGAGGAGTGCGGGGAGCTCCTCCTGCAAAGAGGAACCACGAAGGTGGCCGCAGGTAGGGGACTCCGCTGTCCAAAGCCTTTGTATACTTGTCACTGTTCTTACTGAGGATGTCAAGGACTTGCCCTAGACAAGGCAAGATACTAAGCACTTTGCAAACAGAATTTCACTGAATCCCCCTCCTGCCTCACCCTCATCCCATTTACAGCAGGAGAAACTGAGATTCAGTGTTGCCAAGTGACCCGGGCGAGGCCATACAGCTACTGCACATCCCAGAAAGCCACACTCTGGGAGAGTTTGGTCAGGTGTCTTGGACTAAATGTTGGTGAATGTTGCGGCCATGCTCTGCTGGACCTGGGGTGGGTGCCCAGCATCAGGGGCAGGCTGTGAGGACATCCCAGGGGCTGAGTGACTTGGGAGAGGCTTTTCACAATGGAGAGGTAGAGCTGGCGTGTCTTGGCTTCAGGGAAGCTTCTGGCACAATCAATTTCTGCACATTGCTTTTTACCCAGGAATTTTTTTTTTTCTTTCGTTCTTCTTTTTGAGACAAGGTCTCACTCTGTCACGTAGGCTGGAGTGCGGTGGCACCATCATGGCTCACTGCAGCCTCCACCTCCCGGGCTCCAGACATCGTCCCACCTCAGCCTCCTGAGTAGGTGGGACTACGGGTGTGAGCCACTGTGCCTGCCCAGGAAATCTTTTCTAAGGTGCGCTACAGGCCCGGCTCAGGCTGCAGTGAGCAAGAGCCCACCGTCCCTCTCTCAGTGGGGCCAGACCTCCAGCATCACAACTCCAGGGGCCGCCGCTCACAAAGGGCACCCTCTGGAGTTGAGCAAGGAGGAGTCCGGGCAGAGGCCTAGATTCTTGGAAGAGAAGCCGATGATAAACCGGTCAACAGGCACATGAGCGGTTAGACATTCTCTGGATGTAACGAGGGAAATACACACGCTCTAGAAGAGACTGGTGGCGGGGCCTGCTCCAGAGGGGTGGTCCGGGAGGCAGCTCTCCCAGGGTGAGGGAACAGCTGGAGGGAGATGCTGTGGTCAGACGGAGAATGTGCTGAGTTGGGCGAAACAACGTGGCTTCCTGACACTGCCAGCCGAGTGAACCTGGGACAGCCCTTTCCCTTTTGAGTCCCCTTGTGTGCTCAGGTGACAAACAAGGTCTTGGGTTATTCGCGCTCATCGGATCAGGCGAGGTGGGCATGTGCCTTCCCTTTATAAAGTGCTGAGTGATGCAGGGGTCAGAAACTCCGGCACCTGGGGGTAGGTGGGGGGTGTTGTGGAGTCCACCATGCCGGCTGGGAGGGAGGCTATGGGATGTGTAGGGACTTTGGGGCTGGAGCCGGCCCACCTTGGCAGGCATCTGGGCCAGTGCTAATCAAGTGGGAATTTAGTCTCATGTGGCCAGAATTTCCAGTTGCTCAGCTCTGCAGTTGATCTGCTGAGTTGTAGATTTTTAGGTGTCATGAATCCAGAAATGGATATGAGGATCTAAAGAGCGGCACCTGTGGGCTGTTTTGGCCTCGGTCGCCAGTTTGGGACCTGTTGGGTCTTTGTGATCATCTGTGAACCTTTATCTCGCCTCCCTGGAAACCTATCATGGGGAGGGGAGGTCAGGGACCCCGGGCCCAGGCTTCCTGGACATGCCTCACGGATGGCTGACCTAGGGAGCCCCAGGCACAGAAGTGAGCTAATCTGTGATGAGGCCGGGGAATCTGATTAGGCCCAGGTCACAGGAAACAGTGAATGCAGGATGCTGACCAGGAACCCCTATGTGGGTCTCAGTGGGGTGAGGGAACAGGCAAGAGGGAGGGCTGAGAAGGAGGTGACCCTGGGTCTGGGGAAGAGGTCAGCTGGCTGGAACGTTGTGTGCGGACAAGCCCTCTACAGCAGTTCTGGCCTTTTGGGACCCAGCCGCAGTAAACGAAGGAAATAACCTAAAAGAAGACAGTACCCAGACCCCCACCCAGTGCCTCCAGGACGATGTCAGCTCCTCCCAAATCCTTCCCGCCAGCCCCAGAGCACCTGAGAGTTCACATTCTGTCCTCCCCCGCCCACATCATCCAACCTGATCCCTCCAGAATCTGGAGCTTTAACCACCAAGACACGTTTCCCCACAGTTCCGGAGTTCAGGGTCCAAGGTCAAGGCCTCGGCAGGGCTGGTTCCTTCCGAGGGCTGTGAGGGAGAATCTGTGCCCGCCTCTCTGGCTGCTGGGAGCCTCTGGAGCCCGTTGGCTTGTCTGTGAGGTCCTCTGGATGGGTTAGAGTGCGTGAGGAGGGGAGGGCTCGTGGAGGAGGCAGAGTGGGGAGGGCGGCGAGCATTGCTGGAGAGGCTGCAGCTCCACTTCCTCTTTTGAATAGGAGGGTCTGGGTGGGCCTCATGAGAAGGTGACTTTTGAGCAAAGCAGTGCAGGTGCGGGAGCTGCTCCCACGGACTCCAGGAGGAGAAAGGAGCTGGCAGGACAGGCCTGGAGGTGTGAGCGGGTGGTGCAGGATGGTGAGAGAGCAGAGGAGATGAGGTCTTTATCTTCTCATCTCAGTTCAAGCCCCACAATACTGGCTTTGTGGAAACCATCTTGAAGTGTTCCCATGAAGGAGGGAGGAGCCCACTCTGCCTGTGGCGCCCTAAGGACAGAGGGATCTGTGTCAGTATCTGGCCCCTGACCAATCATATTCACACATGCCTGTAATCCCCGCATTTTGGGAGGCCAGGTGGGAGGATCACTTGAGGCAGGAGTTCAAGACCAGCCTGGACAATATAGGGAGACATCCCCATCTCTACAAAAAATTCAGAATTAAATGGCATCACCATGGTGGCGCACCTGTGCTCCCAGCTACTTGGGAGGCTGAAGCGGGAGACTCATATGAGCCCAGGAGTCGGAGGCCTCAGTGAACCATGATTGTGCCACTGCACTCTAGCAAGACCCTGTCTTTTTCCTGTGTTTTTTTTGTTTTGTTTTTTTGTTTTTAAAAATCAGGGTCTTGGTCTGTCACTCAGACTGGAATGCAGTGGCATGACCTTGGCTCACTGAATCCTCAGCCTTATGGGCTCAGGCGATCCTCCTACCTCAACCTCTTGAGTAGCTGGGACCACAGGTGTGCACCACCACACCTGGCTAATTTTTGTATTTTTCCATAGAGATGGAGTTTCACCATGTTGCCCAGGCTGGTCTCGAACTCCTGAACTCTAGTGATCCTACTGCCTCAACCTCCCAAAGTGCTGGGATTACAGGTGTGAGCCACCGTGCCCAGCCAACCCTGTCTTAAAAATAAAACAAAAAGGCCGGGCACGGTGGCTCAAGCCTGTAATCCCAGCACTTTGGGAGGCCGAGACGGGCGGATCACGAGGTCAGGAGATCAAGACCAGCCTGGCTAACACGGTGAACCCCATCTCTACTAAAAATATAAAAAACTAGCCGGGCGAGGTGGCGGGCGCCTGTAGTCCCAGCTATTTGGGAGGCTGAGGCAGGAGAATGGCGTAAACCTGGGAGGCAGAGCTTGTAGTGAGCTGAGATCCGGCCACTGCACTCCAGCCTGGGTGACAGAGCGAGACTCTGTCTCAAAAAAAAAAAATAAATAATTAAATAAATAAATAAATAAAACAAAAATACCTGACCCCTGAAGCGTCATGCTATGGGGATGGTTCAAATCTTCATCATAAGCTGGGCTGCATTCAGGTTGCAGGTATGATTTGTTTAACTTGTGCAGTTTAAACAAAAACATTTGGCATGGGGGGAATTTTGAATAGATTGCCCAGATTTTATTTATTTTTTATTGTGCTCTTTTTATTTTTTGGAGGAAGGGCACAAGGCCCTTATTTTAAATGGAAAGATTTTATGTAAAGATACAGATTTCTAGGCCGGGCGCAGTGGCTCATGCGTGTAATCCCAGCACTTTGGGAGGCTGAGGTGGGCAAATCACCTGAGGTTGGGAGTTCGAGACCAGCCTGAGCAACATGAAGAAACCCCATCTCTACTAAAAATACAAAATTAGCTGGGCGTGATGGCGCATGCCTGTAATCCCAGGTACTTGGAAGGCTGAGGCAGGAGAATTACTTAAATCCGGGAGGTGGAGGTTGCGGTGAGCCGAGATCACACCATTGCACTCCAGCCTGGGCAACGAGAGCGAAACTTCATCTCAAAAAAGAAAAGAAAATATGTCTTTTGTATGGCTTCTGGAATTTGAATCATAGTTAAAAGGTCATGCTTGATGCTAATACTATTTTGGGTCTAGTACTTGCATTTAAATATTTACTACATTGCATTCTTCTCTGGTGTACAGGGTGAGGTTTGAATCTGACTTCATCTTTTTCCAGATGGCTCCTCAGCTGCCTAATGCCATTTTTAGACAAGTCTGTCTTTACCCTGTTCACGTAAGGGGCTGCCTTGGTCAGACACTGAACGCCCATCTGTACTTGGGTCTGTCTCTGCCTGCCTGTCTATGATAGTACTGTACCACACGCTTTAAGTTGAGGCCCAACAGAGGATTTTCTTTCTTTTTTTTTTTTTGAGATAGAGTCTTGCTTTTGTCGTCCAAGCTGGAGTGCAATGGCACGATCTCGGCTCACTGCAACCTCCGCACCCCAGGTTCGAGTAATTCTCCTGCCTCAGCCTCCCAAGTAGCTGGGATTACAGGTGTCCGCCACCATGCCCGGCTAATTTTTGTATTTTTAGTAGAGATGGGGTTTCGCCATGTTGGCCAGGCTGGTCTCAAACTCCTGACCTCAGGTGATCCACCTGCCTTGGCCTCGCAAAGTACTGGGATTACAGGCGTGAGCCACTGTGCCCGGCCTGAGGATTTTCATATCTGACGGGAGCATCTCCCTTCATGGCTCTTTTACAGAGTTTTTCTACTAGTCTTTTTTTCTTTTCCTTTTTTGAGACAGGGTCTTGCTCTGTTGCCCAGGCTGGATTGCAGTGGCAAGATCTCGGCTCACTGCAGCCTCTGCCTCCCTGGCTTAACTCTCCCACTTCAGTCTTCCCAGTAGCTGGGACTACAGGCGTGTGCCACCATGATTGGCTAATCTTTCAGCTTTCTGTGTAGACATGGGGTCTTGCTTCATTACCCAGGCTGGTCTCAAGCAGTCCTCCCACTTCGGCCTCCCAAAGTGCTGGAATTACAGGTGCCTGACCTCCTGCTATTCTTGCCTGTGTAATTTTTCCACGTGAACTTTAAAATCAGGTGGTTTAGGCCCCCCCATACAAATCTTGTTTGCATATCATATATGTATAGTTTAGTGTTTTTTTGTTTAATTTTTTGAGACAGAGTCTTGCTCTGTCACCCAGGCTGGAGTGTAATGGCACCATCTCAGCTCACCACAACCTCTGCCTCCCTGGTTCAGGCAATTCTTATGCCTCAGCCTCCCAAGTAGCTGGGACTACAGGTGCCCGCCATGACACCTGGCTAATTTTTTTGTACTTTATTAGTAGAGACTGGGTTTCACCATGTTGGCCAGGCTGGTCTCAAACTCCTGGCTTCAAGTGATCCATCCGCCTAGGCCTCCCGGAATGCTGGGATTACAGGCGCAAAACACGGTGCCCAGCTCATATATGTATGTTTAAATAATAAAGTCTTAATAACAGTAACCTGTGCATCCATCACACAGCTAAAACAATGGCACAGCACCCGTTCCTTTGAACCCTCTCCAGCCCCTCCTAGACCCCACCCAGAGGTAAACACCTGTCTATTCATTCAGCAAGCACTTTGGGAGCCCCTCCTATGTGGCAGGCACAGTTCTTGGTCCTGAGGATACAGCTGTGAACAAGGCAGACCAAACTGTTTGTCCTCATGGAAGCTGAACTCTAGCAGAGGAGAGAAGCAATCAACAGGCAAAGGATGAAGTGCCTTAGAAAGTGCTATGGGTAAGGCCGGGCGCGGTGGCTCAAGCCTGTAATCCCAGCACTTTGGGAGGCCGAGACGGGTGGATCACGAGGTCAGGAGATCGAGACCATCCTGGCTAACACGGTGAAACCCCGTCTCTACTAAAAAATACAAAAAAAACTAGCCGGGCGAGGTGGTGGGCGCCTGTAGTCCCAGCTACTCGGGAGGCTGAGGCAGGAGAATGGCGTCAACCCAGGAGGTGGAGCTTGCAGTGAGCTGAGATCCGGCCACTGCACTCCAGCCTGGGCAACAGAGCGAGACTCGGTCTCAAAAAAAAAAAAAAAAAAAAAAAGAAAGTGCTATGGGGGCTGGGCGTGACGGCTCACACCTGTAATCCCAGCACTTCAGGAGGTGGACAGATCATTTGAGCTCAGGAGTTTGAGACCAGCCTGGCCAACATGGCAAAACCCCATCTCGACTAAAAATACAAAATTAGCTGGGCGTGGTGGTGGGTGCCTGTAGTCCCAGCCACACTGGAGTTTGGGGCAGGAGAATTGCTTGAACCCTAGAGGCGGAGGTTGCAGGGAGCCGAGATCACACCACTGCACTCCAGCCTGAGCGACAGAGGGGAACTCTGTCTCGAAAAAGAGAAAGTGCCATGGAGAAAAATAAGAAGGGGTGGTGGGGAGGCCTGGCCATGCAGGTATTTGAGAAAGATTTATATGGGGGAGGGAACAGCCCTGCCTCTTATCCCTGTGGACACCTGTAGCTCTAGTCCCCGTGTGTCCTGCTGGACGGGTTCCGTACAAACACCCCTCTGTTCACGTCTCCATCCCTTCCAACCGCCGGCAGCTTCCAGCTTGCGATTACCCCCAGGGCCACAGGGGACCCTCTGCCCTTTCTGGACACTCCCATGCAGGCCGTTCTTGAGGGGACATTGCTCGGGAAGGAACTGCTGGGTGTTCAGCCTGCAGTTGAGGCCGAGTTGTTGGCCACCATCGGGATGGGGGCAGAGAACCAAGTCAGCGCCCGAAGCTGAAGCTGGGCACCACCCAGGCCTCGCAACTCCGCTCATGTTTCTTTTTTCATTCAGTATCTTCTTAACAAACGATGACACGATTGGTACTTATTTGCTTTTTCCTAGGAATGAGTTTCTCAGAGACGAGAGGTCCACCATCCACCCGGCTGTCAGCCTAAGCTCCTGCCCTCATTTTGCACCGGCCCTTTGGGGTGGCCGGTGAGGGCCCGTGTGGGCTGACAGGTCCGTGGTCAGGCGGCCATGGTTGAGCCCTGGTCCAGCTGGACCCCAGGATAGGGAGTCCTGGGCAGCTGAGGACGTCGGGGGCAGATGGGAGACATGGGCACTGGTTGGAAAGGCCTGGGGGATTCCAGCAAACTCACAGAGCATCCCCTGAGCCTGACGGACAACATTGACGCCACTGTCTTTGTGCTTCCGCCTCCAGGTCTGGTTCTGAACAGAGACCAGAGGCTATCCTGGGTGAGTACCGCTGCCTCTGCTTCCCCCTGCCACGGTTTGCTTATGAGCATCTTTATCGTTTTTGAAAATTACACGCTGGGCATGGTGGCTCGCTTTGGGAGGCTGAGGCGGGTAGATCACCTGACGTCAGGAGTTTGAGACCAGCCTGGCCAACATGGTGAAACCCCTTCTCTACTAAAAATACAAATAAATAAATAAATAAATAAATAAATAAATAAAGCTAGGCGTGGTGGCACACGACTCTAATCCTAGCTACTCAGGAGGCTGAGGCAGGAGAATCACTTGAATGGGAGGCAGAGGTTGCAGTGAACCGAGATCGCACCACTGCACTGCAGTCTGGGTGGCAGAGTGAGACTCCATCTCAAAAAAAAAAAAAAAAAAATTACATAGGTAACATAATACATAATAATTGTCAACTTAACCGTTTGTAAGTGCGCACTTCAGTGGCATTTTTTTTTTTTTTTTTTTTTTTTTGAGACGGAGTCTCGCTCTGTTGCCCGGGCTGGAGTGTAGTGGCCGGATCTCAGCTCACTGAAAGGTCCGCCTCCCGGGTTCCCGCCATTCTCCTGCCTCAGCCTCCTGAGTAGCTGGGACTACAGGCGCCCGCCACCTCGCCCGGCTAGTTTTTTTTTTTTTGTATTTTTTAGTAGAGACGGGGTTTCACCGTGTTAGCCAGGATGGTCTCCATCTCCTGACCTTGTGATCTGCCCGTCTCGGCCTCCCAAAGTGCTGGGATTACAGGCTTGAGCCACCGTGCCCGGCCTCAGTGGCATTAAATAGAGTCAGTGGAGGTGAGGAGAGGAGGGAGACATTCCAGGCACTGACCGCTGCACAGGGAAAAGCTGGAAGTCAGCTCAGAGCATCTGTTGAGAGCGGGATTCCTGATAGAGGCTGTGAAGAGGGGAGAGGCAGGATGACAAAGTTCTCAGAAAACAGCGTCCCATCTGGAAGCCTGGAAGTGTCACTGGATCACTTGTATTAATAGAAACTTGGCCATCTCTGCCACTGAGGGGCTGTGTGACCTTGGGCAAGATGCTTACCCTCTCTGAGCCTTGGTTGTCTCATGTGCAGAAAGAAGGTGTTTTCATTCATTCAGCTGGTTTCTGAGCAGCTTGGCTAGGGGAGCCACGCCCTGGGCCTGCCTTTGAAGGGTTGTTGTCGAGACTAGGTGAGGTCATGTGTGTTGAGTGGCCTCGCACACTGCTGTCGCTTCAGGTACTCATGGCCTGTGCTATTTTGTGATTGTTCAAAAATGGTAGAACACTGGACATGTGTGAGACACTCTCATTAGAGGTGGGGAAGCTCTAACTGCAGGGAGACCGCTGAGAGCTGCTGTCCAGGCCCAGGCCAAGAGATGAGGCTTGGACCAGGGTGTCAGTCAGTGGTCTGGGAATGTTAATGTGTTTGTCTTTGATCTGTGTGGGATTTGTTCTTGAGCATGGTATGAGGTAGTGATTCATTTTCTTTTTTTTTTTTCATGTTTTAAAAGTTCTATTTTTCTTTAATTTTATTATTATTATTATTATTGATACAGAGTCTTGCTCTTGTTGCCCAGGCTGGAGAGCAATGGCACGATCTCAGCTCACTGCAACCCTTGCCTCCCAGGTTCAAGCAATTCTCCTCCCTTAGCCCCCAAGAAGCTGGGATTACGGGCACCCACCACCACCCCCAGCTAATTTTTGCATTTTTGGTAGAGACGGGGTTTCACCATGTTGGCCAGTCTGGTCTCAAACTCTTGACCTCAGGTGATCCACCTGCCTCGACCTCCCAAAGTGCTCAGATTATATACGTGAACCACCATGCTCAGTCTATTTTAATTTTAGAGACAGGCTCTCCCTCTGTCACCCAGACTGGAGCGCCATGGCTCAATCATGGCTCACGCAGCCTCAGACTGCTGGGTTCAAGTGATCTTCCCACCTCAGCCTCCCGAGTAGCTAGGACTACAGGTGTGCGCTATCACACCCTGCTAAGGTTTTCACTTTTGTAGAGACAGGGTCTTGCCATGTTGCCCAGGCTAGTCTTGAATGCCTGGGCTCAAGCTATCCTCCTGCCTCAGTTTCCAAAGTTTGTAGGGATTACAGGTGTGAGCCACTGCACTCAGCCATTGTAATTGTTTTTCTAGATGAACAGCTAGTTATTCCAATACCCGCTGCTGGGTGGTCCTGCCTACCCACCAATACTCACTCACTGATGGCTTGTCCCGTGTGTGTGCTGACCTGCGTGGTGGGAGTTTATTGTCAGTCTGGCTTTTGGAGATGCCCCCTTCCCTGTCCTTAGGGACCATGGCTTATGTGACCTGTTCTGTAGTGGGAGCCGTGGTCACCCATAATGCTGGAAGGAGAGGCTTCCCCGGGATGGAAAGACTTTGTTAGGACATAAACTAGTTGCAGAAGATTCACATTCCAAGATGGAGCTGGCCCAAAATCCTTTTTTTAATTTTTTAAATGTCTGGCCCGGTGCAGTGGCTCACACCTGTAATCCCAGCACCATGGGATGCCAAGACGAGCAGATGACTTGAGGCCAGGAGTTTAAGACCAGCCTGGCCAACGTGGTGAAACTTTGTCTCTACCCAAAAATACAAAAATTAGCCGGGAGTGGTAATACATACCTGTAGTCCCAGCTACTCGGGAGGCTGAGGCAGGAGAATCGTTTTAACCAGGGAGGTGGAGATTGCAGTGAGCCGAGATCGTACCAGTGCACTCCAGCCTGGGCAACAGAGTAAGACCCTGCCTCAAAAAAAAAAAAAACTTTTTCATATATTTCTTCTTCTTCTTTTTTTTTTTTTTTGAGACAGAGTCTCACTATGTCACCCGGGCTACAGTACAGTGGTGCGATCTCGACTCACTGCAACCTCCGCCTCCCGGGATCAAGCGATTGTCCTGCCTTAGCCTCCAGAGTAGCTGAGACTACAGGCGCCCTCTACCACGCTGGGCTAATTTTTTGTATTTTTGGTCGAGATGGGGTTTCACCATGTTGGGCAACTGGTTTTGAACTCCTGACCTCAGGTGATCTGAATTTTTTTTTTTGGAAAGGAACATTTCACAAATTTTCGTAACATGCTTTTACAGGGGCCATGCTAATCTTCTCCTGTATTGTCCCAGTTTGGCAGTATATGTGCTGATAACGCAAAGCACCCACATTCTATTTATTTATTTAGAGAACAAGTCTTACTCTGTCATCCAGCCTGGGGTGCCATGGCCCAAATTTGGGTCAGTGCAACTTCTGCCTCCCGGATTCAAGCAATTCTCCTGCCTCAGCCTCCTGAGTAACTGGGATTACAGGCCCCTGACACCATGCCCAGCTACGTTTTTGTAATTTTAGTAGAGATGTGGTTTCACTCCGTTTGCCAGGCTGGTCTCGAACTTCTGGCCCCAGGTGATCCACCTGCGTCAGCTTCCTAAAGTGCTGGGACTACAGGCATGAGCCACTGTGCCCAGCCTAATTGTTGTGTTTTTAGTAGAGACAGGGTCAAGTTTACCTGTTCACATTGTGCCCAGAAAGCCCCTCCTGTGTGCAGGCCCGAAAGGCTTGGCCACGCCCCGCTGTGAGATGTGGCAGCTGCCATATGAGAGCACGCAGGCCTTGAGGACAGTATGGGAACCCCTGTTTCAGGAAAGGCATCTCAGGTCATTTTAGTCTGAGAAGTAGAAAATAGCTGGCGGGCCAGGGTGGAACCAAGGCAGTGAGTTCTCTCAGGTATGTGTGTGTGTTCATAGCCATAGCAATTTTATATTCGCGATGGTGGAGGTGGAGGAGTGTCGGCTGTCACTTAGTGGAGCTGGTCCTTACAAGAGCTTCCTGGAATTAATCCACTCAGCATGCCCTGCACTCTGTGTGCTGAGAACTAGGAATAGAGAAAATGCTGAGAGCTCCTGCCCTTAGAGTCCTCAAATCAGAGCAGCACAGTCCGAAGGAAGCAGAGTGAGCCTCATGGAAGTTCAAATTTGTCTAGCAGCTATATTAAAACAGGCCCAAGCCTGGGCGCAGTGGCTCACACCTGTAATCCCAGCACTTTGGGAGGCCAAGGCAGGCAGATCACCTGAGGTCAGGACTTCAAGGCCAGCCTGACCAATATGGTGAAACCCCGTCTCTACTAAAAATACAAAATTAGCCGGGCATAGTGGCGGGCACCTGTAATCCCAACTACTCAGGGGGCTGAGGCAGGCGAATCGCTTGAACCTGGGAGGTGGAGGTTGTGGTGAACTGAGATCACACTCCAGCCTGGGCAACAAGAGCAAAACTGTCTCAAAAATAAATAAGCTCTATCAATTGTTCTCATATTTTTATTTAACATCCATGATGTGATTTCAGATGTAATCAACATGAAGCTTGACTGCATTATTTTGCATGCTAAGTTTTCCAAATCCAGCTTCGTGTCACACCTACAGCACATCTCACTGGAGCTGGCCACATCCCCGCCATCCAGACATGAAACTGTCACAAGACAGGGCAGGCAGGGCTGCGGAGGAGGCCTGCAGGGGCCATGATGGAGTGCCCATCCTGTACTGTGGTCCCAGCAAGTTTCTTCCTGCTGGCAAGAAGCCTGTCCCAGGCTGGCAGGGGACAGCGTGAGGTGCAGCCTGCGGACTGGGAAAGGGGTGTGGAAGGGCCACGTCTTAGTCCTAAAATCCAGGCCCAGAAGTGGCCCAAGTCACTTCTCTGACTTTAATCACACAGCCATACCTGGTGGCAAAGCAGTAAGGGAAATGGAGTCAGGCTGGGTAGCCAGGAGCCCAGGAAGAGGGGAGAACAGACTTGGAGAGGGCAGGAGTCTCTGGCCACCAGGGGCTAAAGAGCCTTTGATGAGGCGGTGATGTGGTGGGTCCTGGGCTCGGATCTAGGGTGGAATTCACCATGCTTTTGTCTCTGCAGCCTGAGAACAGTGTTGACTTAGTCAGCAGGGAGCTGTATGCGCATTCCATCAGGAAGCTGCAGGCCCACGTTCTGTTCATCAAGTGAGTCTGGACCAAGTGCCCTTCAGTCACCCCCAAAAGACACATGGGCGCCAGGAATCTCCGGGAGGGAGCCCTGGCATGAGGCTCCAAGTTCTCTGTGTTGACCACACCGCTGAGGCTCAAGATCTTTTTCGGGAAGCCCCCTGGCAGCAGGGTCATGGAAGGAGGAAGGTCAGAGGAGGGGAGGGCTCAGGCAGCAGGGGATGGGCCAGGGCTGTCCCACATCTTTCCACAGGTGTCAGCCGGGGGCATGCCCAGGTAAGGCTCCATGACCAGTGAGCACAATGTCGGCTCACTGCAACCTCTGCCTCCCGGATTCAGGCGATTCTCCTTCCTCAGCCTCCCAAGTAGCTGGGACTACAGGTGCCCGCCACCACGCCTGACTGACTTTTGTATTTTTAGTAGAGAGGAGGTTTCACCATGTTGGCCAGGCTGATCTCCATCTCCTGACCCCATGATCCGCCCACTTTAGCCTCCCAAAGTGCTGGGATTACAGGCATGAGCCACTGTGCCTGGCCCACCACAGACAATTTTTAAGCCATAAAAAGAAAGGAAGCACTGACATGGGCTCCAGCGTGGATGAACCTTCACGCTAAGCAGACGAAGTCAGACACAACCATCTACGTGTTGTATGACTGCATTCACGCTCAAGTCCAAATAGGACACACTGCAGAGACAAAGCCAGTTCATGGTTGCTCAGGACTGGAAGCCTGTGGGGGGTGTGTGTGTGTGTGTGTGTGTGTGTGTGAAAGCGCAGAGGTTCGGGACTTCATTGGGGGTGATGAAAATATTCTGTAATTGTGACGATGGTCTCACAACTCAACATATTAAAAACCACGGGATTGTAGACTTTCAATGGGAGGATTGTAAGACGTAAATTCTCTCAGAGCAAGTGTGGACTCCAGAGCCTGTTCAGATCCCAGCTCTGCTATTCAGGACTGTGACTGTGGCCAAGTCCTAAACTCCCTGAGCCCCAGCAGGGCGTACCTTAAGCACTTGCTTGCGCCTGGCTTGTGCCAGCTGAGTGTGAACTGAGATTAACTGAACCTCAAATCCAACCCAGGGTCAAGGGACCCGGCTGTGGGAGGTGGGGTAGCCCAGGCTTTGGTTTCTCCTCAGAGGCCTGAACCCAGGGCAGGATGAGGGTAGTGCTGGGAGGAGGTTCTAAGATGAACCCCAACAACCCCAACTCCTCACTTTCCAGAGCAGTCCACGGATATTTTGATGTGAGAAGAGAGAATTACTCTGACAAGGAGTCCCTGTCGTTCATGATACACACGCTGAAGTCCACCCTCAAAGAGGTAAGGCGGGGCTTAGGGAGCTGGTGTCCGGCCACTGTCACCCACTCTGGTCCCACCTCACCCATCTCTTCTCGTGCACTGGGAAGACCCCTGGTCTGGCCCCAGGCCCAACAAGTGACCACCAGGATCTCTCAGGCCTCACGCTCCACTGTGGTCGGGTACCCATCCTCCTTCCTGGGCCAGACACAATTAGGTGACCCAACTGCCAGAGGCAGTCCCACAGTTTTTATTTTATTTTTTGAGACAAGGTCTCATTCTGTTGCTCAGGCTGGAGTGCCGTGGCTCAATCATAGCTCACTGCAGCCTCAAACTCCTGGGCTCAAGTGATCCTCCCACCTCAGTCTCCTGAGTAGCTGGGACTACAGGTGCACACCATCATGCCCAGCTAATAGTCCTACTTTTTTTTTTTTTTTTTTTTTCTTGAGATGGAGTCTCACTCTGTTGCCCAGGCTGGAGTGCAGTGGCAAGATCTCGGCTCACTGTAACCTACACCACCTGGGTTCAAGAGACTCTCATGCCTCAGCCTCCTGAGTAGTTGGGATTACAGGCACCTGCCATCATGCGCAGCTAATTATTTTTTATATATATATATATTTATATATATATATATATATATATATTTTTTTTTTGAGACGGAGTCTCGCTGTGTCGCCCAGTGGCCAGATCTCAGCTCACTGCAAGCTCCGCCTCCCGGGTTCCCGCCATTCTCCTGCCTCAGCCTCCCAAGTAGCTGGGGCTACAGGCGCCCTCTACCTCACCTGGCTAGTTTTTTTGTATTTTTTAGTAGAGACGGGGTTTCACCGTGTTAGCCAGGATAGTCTCCATCTCCTGACCTACGTGATCCGCCCATCTCGGCCTCCCAAAGTGCTGGGATTACAGGCTTGAGCCACCGCGCCCAGCCATAATTTTATATTTTTAAGAGACGGGGTTTCGGCTGGGCGCGGTGGCTCAAGCCTGTAATCCCAGCACTTTGGGAGGCCGAGGCGGGCGGATCACGAGGTCAGGAGATCGAGACCATCCTGGCTAACACGGTGAAACCCCGTCTCTACTAAAAAAAATACAAAAAACTAGCCGGGCGAGGTGGCGGGCGCCTGTAGTCCCAGCTATTCGAGAGGCTGAGGCAGGAGAATGGCGTAAACCCGGGAGGCGGAGCTTGCAGTGAGCTGAGATCCGGCCACTGCACTCCAGCCCGGGCGACAGAGCGAGACTCCGTCTCAAAAAAAAAAAAAAAGAAAGAGACGGGGTTTCACCATGTTGGCCAGGCTGGTCTCAAACTCCTGATCTCAGGCGATCTGCCCGACTTGGCCTCCCGAAGTGCTGCTTTTGCAGACAGGAGCCACCGTGCCCAGCCTAGTCTCACATTTTATAGGCTCCCAAACCACAGCAGAACATCTGGCTGCCTCCTCCCTCCGCACCCATCGCGCCAGTGGGTGTGCTGGCTGTAGGTGGGGGTGGCTGTGCCCGGGTTCCTGGGAGCACTTGGTGATTCAGGGTTACCTACCCTCAACCACCTGATCCTGGGGCCTCTGCAGGTTTCCTGGCGTTGTCACAAAGGGAGGAAGCGCACCTGTGGCTGGCTGGTCACGTCGCTGGTCACGTGGTCAGAGCCAAGGCAGGCAGGGCCCTCCCGTCTGGCTTCTTGAAGGCAGGCACAAGTCTGCAGGCTGCTCAGGTCCCCATCTCATTATCTGTTCTCAAGGGGACCTCCTCTAATACAATCACAGTATCCCTGGCCTTAGCCCCGCCCTGTCTTCCCGTAGTGTCCCTGTCCTCCTCCCCCCTCCCATCCCCCCGCCCCGTGCAACTTCACAACTTAGCTGGGAGGCCTCCAAGTCCCCAGGGCTCACACACCTCCTGGGGTGCTATGGACTGACCCGGCTCCAAGGTGTAGAGTGTGCGGGAAACTCACCGTGGGAGGTGCTCCTGCCCTGCAGGGAGCCTGAAGGCTGTGGGAGGGCCCTGACCCCAAGGCCTATGGAGCTCCCTAGGCTCCTCTGGCCACACCTCACCACACACCCTCTCCCTTCTCCAGCAGTTCCAGTTTGTGGAAATTCCAGGCAATCACTATGTCCACATGAGCGAACCCCAGCATGTGGCCAGTATCATCAGCTCCTTCTTACAGCACAAACACATGCTCACAGCCTAGCTGTAGCTCTGGGCCTGGAACTATGACGACCTCGTGCTGCCAGACTCAACACTGGGAATGTGAGTTCCCGAGCCCTGCAATAAGGCCAGGCCTGTGGGGAAAACAGATCAGACTGTTACTGTGTCTATGTAGAAAGAAGCAGACATAAGAGACTGTATCTTGTCTGTACTAAGAGAAATTCTTCTGCCTTGAGATGCTGTTAATCTGTAACCCTAGCCCCAACCCTGTGCTTGCAGAGACATGTGCTGTGCTGACTCAAGGTTTAATGGATTTAGGGCTATGCAGAATGTGCTTTGTTAAAAAAGAGCTTGAAGGCAGTATGCTTGTTAAAAGTCATCACCATTCTCTAATCTCAAGTACCCAGGGACACAATACACTCCGGAAGGCGGCAGGGACCTCTGCCTAGGAAAGCCAGGTACTGTCCAAGGTTTCTCCCCATGTGATAGCCTGAGCTATGGCTTCCTGGGAAGGGAAAGCCCTGCCCCTCCCTCAGTCCCACACCCCCGTAAAGCGTCTGTGCTGAGGAGGATTAGTGAAAGAGGAAGGGCCTCTTTGCAGTTAAGAGGAAGGCAGCTGTCTCCTGCTCATCCCTGGGAATAGAATAGAGTATCTCCGTGTAAAACCCAATTGTATGGTCCATTTACTGAGATAGGAGGAAACCACCTTACAGCTGGAGGTGAGAAATGCTGGTTGCAATACTGCTCTTTAATGCACACCTATATGTTAGTATACGTGCACATCAAGGCACAGCACCTTTCCTTAACCTTATGACACAGAGACCTTTGTTCACACGTTTTTGTGCTGACGCTCCCCCCACTATTACCCTAGGGGCAATGGTAAAGATAATGATCAATAAATACTGAGGGAACTAAGAGAGCTGTGGGTCCTCGTATGCTGAGCCTGAGCACCGGTCCCCTGCGCCCACTTTTCTTTATACTTTGTCTCTCACTCTCTCGAGAAATGCCCACAGGTGTGGTAGGGACAGGCCTCACTGGTCTTGAAGCCCAGCCTAGGGTGTAGTCAGGGGAAGGAGTGAGATTCCAACTTTAACATCTGTGACCTCAAGGGGGAGACAGAGTCTGGGTTCGGGGGGCTGCTGTCTCCTGGCTAATAATCTCCAGCCAGCTGCAGGGAGGAAGGGCTGGGGCCACCTAGCCTTTCCCTGCTGCCCAACTGGGTGGAAAATAAAAGCTTCTCGCGTTCTCACTGCTTTCGAGGCTGTTTCGTTGCCAGCTAGGGCTTTTCCATTAAAGGAAAAGGGAAAACAGAGTGGATTCAGGCAGGGTCCTTGACGGGAGGGTGTGGAGGCAGAAGGGGCAAGTCCTCCTCTGGGCACGCCCAGGTCCCCAGGACTGCTGAAGCCCAAGACCCGAGGGGTGGCCTGGCCCTTCACTCCTGGCCTGTGTGGACTCTCATAGGGCTATTGGATGTGGTGGCCTCAACCTGGGGCCCGTTTCCCAGAGCTCAGCCTCTCGGAGACGGCTGCAGGCCCTGCCTCACCTGATGTTCCTCCAGGCCCTGCACCTCCAGCCATCCACTGCAGCTCTCGTGGCTCAGTAGGGTTGGAATTTGCGCTGGGCCCGCAGCAGCTCGATCCTCTGCTTGTCCTCCTCGAACTTCTTGCGCAGCTTCGCTAGATCTGGGGGCGAGAGGAGGCGCGGGGCAGGGTCAGACAGCATGCCCCGGGCAGCCGGCTTGCTCATGCCCCACCCCTCCTCCCAGTTATTGTGGGGCACGGGGGGCATGTCTCCCCCACCAACCCAGCCCCCTTCCCAGCTCTGCTTTGGGGGCAGGGTCTAGATCCTGTAAGGAAACAGAATCCGATGGCAGGCCGAGTCCAAGGGCAAGGCCAAAGTGGGAGACGCTGGCACCCCGAGCCTGGAGATGAAGCCCTAGAAACAAAGCAAAGGCATCCGCCCCCACCCCGACCCATGCGCAAGGGGGAAGGAAGGAGTCCTGACCGCTCGGCCTGGAGCAACCCTGAGACTCGGTAAAGGGACCCCACCCCTAGTGCTGGTGAATGCCGATGGCAACTCTGGTCACCGGGTGGCCCAGGTCAGTAACAGGCTGATGGCACAGAGGGGGAAGCTGAGGGTCTAGAGCGAGCACAAGTGGGAGCCAAGAGGGCCATCGAGGCAGGGAAAGCACCCAGTGACTGGCCACCTGACACACCACACATATATACCCCAACACACGTATTCTGCAGCATCCTCCCTGCACCCACAGTGGGTTCGGAGGCCCCCTCTGCACTCGAACTCCTTGCTGGCTGGAGGCTGACCAGCGCCAGCACTAAGTGCACAGGAGCCCAGAGGTGGGCACTGATGACCCAGGGTCCCCACCCACTGAGCAAATGCATCTGCCCCGGGGGGTGATGGGGGACCGCCACACCTGGTGCTGCCAGGCTGGGCCTCTTTCCAGAGCCTAGTGGGAGCCCTGTGCTTAGGGACGCCCTCCCTCCGTGACCAGCAGGTTCAGTGCCCGCTGTCAGGAGCCCTGGCCAGAGGCCTCATCCATGGTTGGGGCCAAGGCTGAGGGGCCTGAGGATGGGCTGGGCGTGGCTTACGCTCCATCTTGCTCTCCCGGTGCTGCCAGGCATAGAAGTTGAGCAGCTCCTTTCGGGCGCGCTTCCGTCTCTCCCTCTCCAGCACCCGCAGGCTGGCTGCTTCAGTCCGGGGGAGCACAGGCCGTCGGCCCCGGCGGGTCACCTTCACCCACCCCTCCTCGTCAGGGACCCCCTCCTCCTCCTTGGCCTTAGCTTCTTCCTGAAAGGAAGGTGATCCTGTCGTCCGGTCGGCACCTGGGACCTCCTGCAGCCTCCAGCAGCACACCCTCCACGCCCTCCATCCTAAGTCAGAACCGCCCTGAGCCCCGCCCCCCAGGGACGGGCTGCTCCCCTCCTCCCAGCATGGTGTTGGGGCTCAGGATGGCGGGGAGGGCACGGACCTGCCGGCGCTGCCTCTTTCTCCACTACAGACCATGTGGAGACTAGATGTGTCACCCAGCCAGGCAGCCCAGGATCCAGCAGGGAAAAAGGGAGCCTGGCCTCTACAGAGTGGCTAAGGACAGGCCGCCACCGCCCTCCCTCTGGGGTGCCACCTTCCCACAGCCACACAGGCGATGCGGTGCTCGGCCAACCCTGCGGAGCCTCCACCTCAGCGATCTTCTGGTCATACGCCTCCATGAACGTGTCCACTTCCACCCTCAGGGCCTCAGGGTCGGGCATGGAGTCTGCGTAGTCACTGATCCACTCTGAGGAAAAGGGAGGGAGGGAAATGGGGCTTCCTCAGGCCTGGCATTTGGGCCCCACCCCAGGGCCTGCCAGGCTAATGGAGACCTTTTCCCACAGGGCCCGGGGCGCAGGTGCTAAGGAAACCCCAGGGGCTGCAAGCTGGGCCCTCGCTCTGCCTGCCCAGTATTCCTGTGCCGCTCTGTGCCAGGGGCTCAGGCTAACGACTCCCTGGGGACCCAGACACAGCCCCGCAGTCCTCCTGCCCAGGCCTCCACATGCCACTCTCAGGGAGCATGGACTTGGCTGGTGACATTCAGACACTGTCCCCATAGAGTGTTCTGCCAACCCAGAGCCCAGAAAGGAGGTGCCAGTCACCCCCGTGGTACTACCTGTGAATGCCACTCTTCACAGGGTGGCTCTCTGTGGACACCAGCAGAGGGCCCTTCAGGGCCAAGGCCACTGACACCCCACTTGGCTTCTGGAACACCACGTAGGCTACCTGGAACCCCTGAAGAGAGAGACAGATGTCAGAGGCTGGGGGCGCCTCCGCATGTCTGGCACAAGGTCTCCAGGCCCGCCCTCAGCCTAGCCGGTGGCTACACCAGGGGAGACAGTGCTAGGCTATTTCTGAGCCATGGAGAGAACCAGAGGCCATCCCATAACCCAGGTCAGGGGCAGCCACACTTCCAGTGATCCTGCTTCTGCGGGAAGTGACAGCTGTTCCCAGCTCTTCCTCAGGAAGAGGGGACACACAGGCTGCCTTTCTTCCAGTCACAGGAGGGATGCTGTGACACGCAGGGGTCGCCCTGGGCCAGGGCAGGTTTTTGGAAGCCAGGCCTGGGCACACACCATGCCAGATGCCACTGTGTGGGGAGGAGGTGTGGGCTCCAGGGCCAGTGGGAAAGCCGTGAAGAACAGTGCTGCTGCAGACCCGGCCCCTAAGCCTGGGGAAGGAGCTCCCTCAGCGAGGGAAGCAGGAGGGCAGCCGGGGGAGGCCCCGCAAGCGCCCAGCAGAGACGGTCCCTGAGCATTAACACAGGATGGAAAAAGCCAGGCAAGAAGTGCAAGGATGTGGCAAATCTGGGAAGGAATAACAGGCTTTGTCACCTGGACAGCCTCCTACACCACACACGGTGAGGATGGGCTCAGGACCAGAGAATGCTCTGACGTCCCACTGCCAGCTCCCCCAACACACTGGGGACAATGCCCCACCCCCCTCACTCTAGTGGAACCCCGTGCTTGGCGGCTCACCGGAACTGGCTTGGGATGAAAAAACTTCGACCTTGACTCCTTTGGGCTCTCGGCCAGGTCCGGCTTCTCCTGCAACTCTACAGACTGGACGAGGCCACAGGAGGACAGGAGGCGGGACAGGCTCTCCTGCCGCAGGGAGAGGGAAGTCAAGTGTGAGCATCTGCAAGGGCATCCGAAAGCCTCCCTCCACCATGGGTGGCACTGCCAGGGGTCCAGCGCCCCTGAAGGACTCAGAGCCACAGTCACATCTGCCCAAACTGGGAGCCTGTGGGCACCACAGCCTCCGACCTGTTCTGCAGGGATAATATGGAGGTCAATATTCCTGCTCTTTCTCTTTTTTATTTTTTATTTTTTTTGAGTTGGAGTACTGCTCTGTAGCCCAGGCTGGAGTCCTATAGCGTGATCTCAGCTCACGGCAACCTCCACCTCCGGGTTTCAAGTGATTCTCGTCCCTCAGTCCCCCGAGTAGCTGGGATTACAGGCGCCCACCACCACACCCGGCTAGTTTTTGTATTTTGAGTAGAGACGGGGTTTTGTCACATTGGCCAGGCTGGTCTTGAACTCCTGACCTCAGGTGATCCCCCCATTTCGGCCTCCCAAAATGCTGGGATTACAGGCATGAGCCAGCGTGCCTGGCATATTCCTGCTCTCTCTCACTGGAGACAGGTAGGGACATTCTTGCTATTATTCTGATTTTATATATATGACAAGTTTTACTACCTGAATCAGCAGTGGTGACCCTATACTGTGACAGGATGGAGGTTGTCTGTCTGAATCAGCAGTGGTGACACTATACTGTGACAGGATGGAGGTTGTCTGTCTGCATCAGCAGTGGTGACACTATACTGTGACAGTCAGGATGCAGGTTGTCTGTCTGAATCAGCAGTGGTGACCCTATGCTGTGACAGTCAGGATGGAGGTTATCAGTGGGGGTTCTGGGATGTGCTGCTGTGTCTCCACCTGGGTGCTGACTACACAGGTATGTTCTGTCTCTGGGATGCAGCGAGCTGGACACCTGCCACTGGGGCCCTTCCCTGTACACATGCTGCACTTCAAAAAAGGTCAGAACTCACACCCCCTCTTCTACACGCTTCTTTTTTCTCTAAGTTTAGAGGATTCTTTTACAAATTAGTTTCTTTTTTGAAAACAAATCCAACAGTTCTCTTGACCAGGGGTGGTGGCTCACGCATGTAATCCCAGCACTTTGGGAGGCTGAGGGGGGGCGGATTACTTCAGGTCAGGAGTTCAAGACCAGCCTGGCCAACATGGTGAAACCTTGTCTATACTAAAAATACAAAAATTAGCCGGACGTGGTGGTGGGCGCCTGTAATTCCAGCTGCTTGGGAGGCTATGGCAGGAGAATCTCTTGAACTCAGGAAGCGAGGTCGCAGTGAGCTGAGATCGCAGCGCTCCAGCGTGAGCAACAGAGGGAGCAATTCCCTTAGTTTAGTTTTTGTAAAAAAAAAAAAAAATTAACAGTTGTGTTTGGATAGAACGAGAGGCACTTTTTATTTCCTTATACTTTCCTAGTTTTAAACTATGGACACGTATAATCTCAAAGAAAACACGCAATTCAAACAACTTCGGGTAATACGTAAAAAAGCCTTGGGCTACTTAGGATTATACTTTTTCTTTTTTTTGAGACAGAGTCTCACACTGTTGCCAGGCTGGAGTGCAGTGGCAGACCTTGGATCACTGCAACCTCCGCCTCTCAGGTTCAAGCAGTTCTTGTGCCTCAGTCCCCCAAGTAGTTGGGATTACAGGCGTGTGCCACCATATCCAGCTAATTTTGGGGTTTTTTTGGGTTCTTTTGAGATGGAGTCTCACTCTGTCACCCAGACTGGATTGTAGAGGCGCAATCTCGGCTCACTGCAACCTCCGCCTCCCAGGTTCAAGGGATTCTCATGCTTCAGCTTCCTGAGTAGTCTACTGGCGCACGCCATCACGCCTGGCTAATTTTTTGTGTTTTTTAGTAGAGACGGGGTTTCATCATGCTGGCCAGGCTGGTCTTGAACTCCTGACTTCGGGTGATCTGCCCCCTTCAGCCTCCCAAAGTGCTGGGATTACAGGCATGAGCCACCATGCCTGGCAGGATTATACTTTTAAAGACATCTTTGAAAAACCCGTTTCCTGACTGGAGATCAAGGTAGCCCTCTGGACACTCTCCTCTGGGGCTCCCATTAGCTGTGTCCGTCTCACCACCAAGGACTTGGTGGAGGCCAAGGGAGCCCCCACCTAGAGCCCACAGGTCCCCTCCCAGACACTAGCTCACTTCTGTGCAGTATGGGGGCACATTGAGGACAAAAAGAGTCCTCTTCTGAGGCCAGGTGGACTTGGTGCCTTGTCAAATGCCAAGTGCCCTCACATAGAGGTAGTGAGAAGCCTGCTGCTTTTCAGAGAACTTGATTGGAATAGCTGGAAAGGAAATGGGAGGGGAGGGATGGCCAGGCTACCCTGAGCTGAGGCCAGCAAGACATTCACACAACTTCCTTTCTCCACATCCCTGTCTAGTCCTATCTGCTCATCAATCCATCCATCCTTCACCAACCCCCGACCCTACCCTTTGGCAAAGCCTGTGCGGGCTCTAAGAGTCTGCCCAGGAGGGCCTCCCAAGGTGGTGCAGGGAAAGAGAAGATAAATGGGCAATGATTACAGATGGGGGCGCAATGAAAGGGAAGCTCTTGAACCCTGCGGCTCTTGGAGTGAACACCAAAATCTTAACCGTGGCTGGAAGCTCCGAGAGACCCTGCCTGCCACTGTGGCCTCTTCTCGTACCATCTTCCCCCACCACCTTGGATTCTCCCTGTTCCCCTGGGTACACCAGGGCCTCACACACACTGGCCTCTCTTACCTGGCGCGTCACCCTCTTCCTTCCCGCTAACCTTCAGGTTTAGCTCAAACCTCGCTTCCTCAGCATCACCCGCAGCCCCTCCTGCCAGGTCAGATCCCACTGCCTGTGCCTTCACAGCTTCTCTTAATAGTCTGTAGGCTATACTGATGAGACTCTTTGATTAATCGCTGGCACACCCATGACTGTAATCTCATAAAGCTAGGAACTGCTTCTATTTTTCTCACACCTCCGTCAGACTACCGGTTGGCATAGAGCTGCGGTCCCTGAACTCAGGAAGCTCAGTTGCAATAACGGAGAAGACAATTACCAAGTAAGCATACAGCAAGCTTGTATCAATTATGAAAGAAACATTACAGGGTCATGGGGTGGCAGAGGTCTTCTTTCCATAGGCTCTCAGGGATGGCCTCTTTGAGGAAGCAACATTAAAGCTCAGACCAGAAACGCCAATAAGCAACAAATTGGCACAGCACGTGCAAAAACCCAGGGGGGAAAAAGCACCTTGCCTCAGAGAAACAGAAAGAGCCTTAGGTCAGCACCAGCCAGACCACGTGGCCCACACAGGTTAAGAAGTCTGCTTTTTGTTTTAGAAGCTACCTGATAAAGCCACTGGAGGGAATGCAGTGGATGTGGGGGCTATCGTGGGCGTGTGAGACATGATCTAAATTTTAAATGGACTTAAAAAGAACATTCTACCACATGGGTGGAGAACAGAAGCAGCGGCAAGATGAGAAGGAGGGCAACCAAATAGGAGAGCCCGTAACAGCCCAGGTAAGAGCTGCTGGGGGCTGGACTAGGAGCAGAGACGATGACAAGGGGATGGGCTCACCTGGATGAGCGAGTGTGGACGGAAATGGGTTTGCCCTGGGTGAGGGGTGGACAGAGGTGGGCTCACCCACGGGAAGCGTGGACGAAGACAGGCTCGCCCTGGTAGAGTGGGAAGACAGAAGAGCGCCTCCTGCGTCCTCGGAGCCTCACGACCTCCCGAGCCTGGGGCCAGGGGCCACCGGGGCTCACACCTAACCGTGCGGCCGCTCCTGGGGACCCTCGGCCGCCGCCAACCCCCAAACACCTCCTGGCGATGCCTGACCGCCCCCGGTCTCGCCTCCCGGAGCTCCTCACCTGTGTAACCCGGTGGGCTCGGGATACGGTCGTCCCGTTCCCGCGCCGGCCGCTTCCTCCTGCGCGCCACCATCTTGCCGCCCGGAAGCGCGGGGGCCGCCAGAAGTTGTGGTTCGGCGCCGGCGCGAGCGCGTTTCCGTGGCGTCTGTCCCGCCCCCTGGCTCCAGGCCCGCCTCTCCGGCCCCGCCCGCCAGGGCCCAACCTTCATCAGCTCAGAGTCAAATCAGCGCGCGGAAGTGGGAGGGAACGTCAGCGTTGACCCCGGCCAGTCACGAGTGCGAACTCAGCTTTCCACTCATGCATTCACACCTTGAATAGACAGTGTGAGAGAAATCCAGGATGGCTGCTAGGTTTTCAGTCGGGGCAACTAAAAGGATGGTGTTGCCATTGACTGAGATGGGGAGACTGCAGGAGAGGGGCCAGCTTGGGGAAAATCAAGTGGATCAGTTCTCTGTGGGCCATGGTGAGACGCCCGTTAGGCCTTTCAGGGGAGATGTCAGGTGGGCAGTTCCACATGAGACTCGGTAGTCTTTTGTTTTCCTGCAGTCTCACTCTGTTGCCCAGGCTGGAGTACAGTGGCATGATCACAGCTCACTGCTACCTCTGTCTCCTGGGTGCAAATGATCCTCCACTTTAGCCTCCTGAGTAGCTGAGGTCATTTTTCGTTTTTGTTTTTGTTGTTGTAGAGATAGGGCTTCACTCTATTGCCCAAGCTGGTCCCGAACTCCTTACGCTCAAGTAATCTTCCTGCCCCAGCATCCCAAACTGCTGGGACTACAGGCATAAGCCACCATGCCCAGCAGATGGTCAACTTTTTTTTTCTTTTGAGAGTCTCGCTGTTGCCCAGGCTGGAGTGCAGTGGCGTGATTTCACCTCACTGCAACCTCCACCTCCCAGATTCAAGTGATTCTCCTGCCTCAGCCCCCCAGTAGCTGGGATTACAGGTGCCCACCACCCATGCCCCTCTTTTTTTTTTTTTTTTTTTTTTTTTTTTTTTTGTTGAGACGGAGTCTCGCTCTGTCGCCTGGGCTGGAGTGCAGTGGCCGGATCTCAGCTCACTGCAAGCTCCGCCTCCCGTGTTTACGCCATTCTCCTGCCTCAGCCTCCCGTGTAGCTGGGACTACAGGCGCCCGCCACCTCGCCCGGCTAATTTTTTTTTTTTGTATTTTTAGTAGAGACGGGGTTTCACCGTGTTAGCCAGGATGGTCTCGATCTCCTGACCTCGTGATCCGCCCGTCTCGGCCTCCCAAAGTGCTAGGATTACAGGCTTGAGCCACCGCGCCCGGCCGCCCCTCTAATTTTTGTAATTTTTGGTAGAGACGGGGTTTTACCATGTTCGTCAGGCTGGTCTCAAACTCCTGACCTCATGTGATCTGCCTGCCTCGGCCTTGCAAACTGCTGGGATTACAGGAGTGAGTGAACATGCTGGCCCAACAGGCAACTTTTAATGTGGTGTGTTAAGGCTCCCAGAGAATGTTCCACACACAGAAAATGGGGAAGTGACAGTCTTTGAAAGCCTAGGCCCAGAAATGGCAAAGTCACATCTGGTCAAAGTAGTAACAGAGCACACTTGGGTTCAGGATGGGCATGGGACCCCATCTTCTGATGAAAGGAGTATCAAATAATTTGCATCCCTGGAGGGGAGCAGTGGCTCATGCCTGTAACCCCAACACTTTGAGAGGCCGAAGCAGGAGGATCACTTGGGCCCAGGAGTTAAAGACCATCCTGGGTATCGTATCAGGAACCTATTTTTTAAATAATTAAGTTGCACTCCAAATGCTGAAATCCCTGAAGATCAAAACCCTTGGCTGGGTGTGGTGGCTCATGCCTGTAATTCCAACTTTGGGAGGCTGAGGAAGGCAGACCACCTGAGGTCAAGAGTTCAAGACCAGCCTGTGCAACATGGTGAAACCCCATCTCTACAAAAATTAGCCAGGCATGGTGATGCACACCTGTAGTCCCAGCTAATTGGGAGGCTGAGGTAGGAGGATTATTTGAGTCTGGCTGCGGAGGTTGCAGTGAGCCAAGATAGTGCCCCTGCACTTCAATCTGGGCAATAAAGTGAGACTTTGTCTCAAAAAAAAAAAGTAACTCAAAGGTAGGAATACCAAATGTTTATTCAGAAATGGATAATACATAATCACCCTTCATCCCTTAATGCCTCTTCCTCTCCTTCTGCATGGGAGACACAGACGGGTAACACGGGGGCATGGGAAGTGAAGGAGGACACAGGACTAGCCCACCACCTTCTCTTCCCGGTCTCCCAAGATTACCACTTATAGAGTGGAGGAGGCAAACAGGTCCCCTCAATGTACCAGATGGTCACCTACAGCACCAGCTCCAGATGGCCACGTGGCTGCAGCTGGACTCAATCAAACTCTGTGACAACCAGAAGATCCCTGCTTTGGGATCAGAGGGAGGGTAAAGCCATGCAGGCAGGATATTTACCGTCCCTACCCTAAGCAGAGTCCAAGCACTGAGTCCCCTGTTCCCAGTACCTGAAAAACCAGGTCCAACTGCCTTCTGGATGCTCTCTTGGGCCAGGAAGGGTAAAGTGTGGGAGGAATGTCTTCCAGCTGCTAACAAGAAGTCTGCACCCACTTGAAGGGGTTAAGAGAATAAAAAGCAGCATTCTTTAAAGAACTGGAAGTGGAGCACCACCAGGCCCCTTCCTTGGACTTTCCCGGCCTGGGCAGCCTCAGAGTCTGCAGACTGAAGCTGAGTTCAAACCCTGGGTCCTTCCTGCCTGACAGACTGACCTCTGGAAACATGAGTCTCTGGGTTTTTCTTCACTGGGTCAGCCTCAAGCAAGTCTCGGGAACTCTTGAGTATCTCTGGCATGCGCCTTTCCCAGCACTTGCTACTGATTTGCAGAGCTCCCAGAACTGTGCTCCCCAACTGGTTCCAGCTCTGCCAGCCTGGATTCCCTTCATTCCCAGCAAACCAGCAGGGGACCACTCAGTGACACCAGGGACAACACTGGCCTGGTCATTCAGGGACTGCCCCTGGGCTCTATAGTTTTGTCCCAACTGCCTGTGCCTATGCTGGGGAAACAGCTTGCCTGGGAGAGCTGCCCTGCTCCCTTGACTCCTCCTCTGCCAAGGCAGGAAAATAACCCTCTGGTCATGGATGGATGGGTCACTCACGTAAGTGGGAACAAACAGTGCCCCTTGGTGGCAGCTGGATATATGCCTCCAGGCACTCCTGACCACTGTCCTGTTGACAACTTAGGCCAGAAATGGAGAGCCAGGAGCAAACCGACCTCTTCCATTCAAATAAGCTCCTAACCCACAGCATTGCAGAATGGGAGGTTGAACCTTTGAAAGGCCCAACCAGAGGAGAGCTGGCAGCTGCACAAAACCAGGGTGTGATGAGTGCCAGGCGAGGTGAGAACCAGGAGGGCTCACAACACAACCCCCTCCTAGCAGAGACACCCAGAAGGGAAAGCGAGCTAGGGTAGGGCATTCAGCACAACTCAAGGAAAAGGGAAAGGTGAACTCTGGAGAACTTCCTCTGGGCGGAGACAGCACGGGCCTCCAAGCCAAGAGCTTGGACACTCTTCCCAGCGGTGCAGCCTCATCCTGCCCTTGCCATTAGTGAGACCTGGAGCCACTGGGGAGAGGACAAGAGGCCTGAGACCTGCTCCCCACCCAGGCACCTCCAATGACCAGGCAGAGGAGCGGCACAGCTCTCAGGCCGACCTGGCTCCCATCAGGATACCAGGGTTTTCCATCCCCTCCGTTGTCTGAAAAGCTTAATACACACAAAGGACAGGCAGCCCGTCGGCCCCTGGAAAAAGCAGGGTCCTTCAGACAGCCCCCGCCCTGCATCCCATGGGGCCACAAGAAAGCCACCCAGAGAATTCAGTGTACCATTTCCAGATAAGAAATCAGCTTGGGGCTGAGGCTGGCGGAGGCACACTGAAAAACACAAGCCTAACTTGGTGATGAGATGGAGAAGAAACATACTACAGGAAACGTTAACGTACAGAGAAAGCACATGGCAGAACACAACACAGAAATGCGGGTCCCATCCAGTGAGGAAGCTCTTTACCCCTGGTGACCCTTCCCACAATCAGGGGTCTCCAGTCCGATGGCCCATTGGTCACAAGCTTTGCCTTGGGGAAACAGAGCCACCCTCCTCTGCCCCCACTTCCAGCTGCCTCACTCCCCTGCTCAAAGCTTGATTTTGAATTCTGTGGGCTGCGTGGTCACAGAGGCCCCTGAGGACTTGAAGAGTGCCTTCAGGATGGTGTCAGGGTCCACTTCGGCAGGGGGGTTGGAGGAGGAGGCAGAGTTCACCCTGCGAGGCAGCTCACTCTCCTTTTTCACCGATGGGCTGTCACTCAGCCGCCTGTGGAGAGCAGAGAAGGGTAAAAAAAAAAAAAACCTAATTGGGGAACAAAAAGAGGGGTAACATCTGGCTCTGTCTCCATCAGAGCCAATCGTGAGGTGGAGTTCTGTGTTCCTAGGATGATGATGATGCACACAGCTGGGAGACCCAAGCAGCCTCCCCTCCACCTTCCACTCAGATATTTCTAAATCAGAAGGCTGAGAACGAGATCATAATGCTAGCCCCTGTAGGGTCAACCCCTGGGGAAATGACAAAGCAAACCATTTTGGTTGAGTTTAAGCATTTGAAACAACCAGCTGCCATTAGAACAAAGGAATGCAGGCAGTTTACCCATTAGAATAAAAAGAGATGGACGGAGTTCCCTCTCCCCAGCACCCCGCCTTTGGAACTCACAGCAGGATGGGCTGGTCTGAGGTGATAACGTTCCCATTCATGTGAAGGTTGCACTTCATCGGCTGCCCTGAAAAACCAGAGAAAGAAAAAGGCTCTGCTATGAGACCTCAGCTCCTCACAAAAGAGGACAAGGGCTGTTCCTCCATTATCAATGGTCAAAACACCCACCACGGCGGTTCTGGCTCCGCAGATGGAGACCTGGCTGCTAGGTTCCAATCAAGCCAGACACTAAGAAAATCCAAAGCGTGAGGAAACCTCAGCAATGGCGCACCAAGAGGCAAAGTGGCCACAAGCCTTGCTTCATACAGGAGATGAGTGAAAGTGAAGGAGAAATGAGACTCAATGTGAAGCCATCCAAGTAGTAAGGGAAAAGGTTTATGCTATCAAATTCAGTGAAAAGATGATCAAAAGCATTCGTACAGGCTTCTACTCTATCTACAAAGGATGAAGCACTAGGAAGACCACACTCCCACTGTATACAAAGCACAACGTGTGTAATGGTAATAGCACAAAAAAGAGGAAGAAGAAACAAGGCCATTTGGGAGTAACATTTCCATATCTTACTCGAGTTAAGTTAGTGAATACATCATGAAAGGAATTAAAATATTAGGAAAAAAATGTGAAAGAAAAGCCACTGAAGAGGAACAAAAAAGTAAAATGCGGTCAGGCGCGGTGGCTCACAACTGTAATCCCAGCACTTTGGGAGGCCAAGGCGGGCGGATCACGAGATCAGGAGATTGAGACCATCCTGGCTAACACGGTGAAACCCCGTCTCTACTAAAAATACAAAAAATTCGCCAAGCATGGTGGTGGGCACCTGTAGTCCTGGCTACTCGGGAGGCTGAGGCAGGAGAATGGCGTGAACCTCGGA